AGTATATTGATACGTGTAGGACTGTAGGGATAGAAATATCTGATGTATTAAAGGTAACGATTGGATTACAAAGGAACTTAAGGAATTTGATAATGGAGCTCCTCCCACTCCCCCTCTTTGAACAAAGACTCCTATTCTTTGATAACCTCTCTCTAAACCTTAGACACGCTTATATACTACATCTTAATGTTTAACATTAAACGACTTTAGATTATTCATTTCTACTTAGATAAAACGATGGTGCAGGGCCTTCATACGTATCATTACCCCCGCCTTTGAAATCAACCTTGGGTCTGTACTGTCGCCGCTGCGTCAGCGATCGCGACCAATAATTACAACATCATCACAGGCAAAACAAATGGTGGAGAATTAAAATAGATGACGCGGCGTTTGTGTTGTCGACATCGCAGGTGACGCTGAAAAAAACTCTAGAATTCAAGCAAAATAGTTTAAGAACTTCAAGGATTAAAGAACAACTTTTCTTTATTGCTTTAGAAAACTCACTCAAAAACTAAAGCTCTCAAATCCACAACTCATAAGGTTTACCACAACTTTGGCAACTCTTATATAGATAACACAAAACCTAAACCTTTTCCTAATAGAATTATGAATTTTCTTTTCTTTAGATAACTCCTAAGAATGTCTAGATAACTCCTAAACATATTCCTAATCCTAAAAGGAAATATCAAACTTGTTTACCAAGTTAACTTCAAGCTTAAGTCAACATTCTCCCCCTTAAGCTTGAAGCCTTCATCTTCTAGATCTCGAACACCAAGTAACTCTCTCATTTCCTTGAATTTAATCCTACCAAGAGCTTTTGTCAAGATGTCTGCTCTTTGTTCATTACCTGGAACATGTTCTACTTCTACTTGGCCATTCTCTACACATTCTCTAATAAAATGGTACCTTCTATGTATATGCTTGCTTCTTCCATGAAATACCGGATTCCTTGTTATGGCAATGGTCGATTGATTATCGATTCTTATGACTACCTTCTCACTCGATGAACCAGTAACCTCACAAAGCAAATCCTGAAGCCATATTGCTTGTCTTGCTGCTTCTGTTCCAGCCATGAACTCGGCTTCACAACTTGATAATGCTACAGTGTCCTGCTTCTGTGAGCACCAAGAAATTGGGCTTTCCCCGAAGTAAAACACATGTCCCCCAGTGCTCTTGCCATCATCAAGATCGACATTGTGAGAACTATCGCTGTAGCCTACTAGTTTTGGTATCTTTGAGGTGGTATTCTTAAATACCAAGCCGAGTGTGGTAGTACCTCGCAGATACCTCAAACATTGCTTCATGGCCGCTCCATGAGACTCCTTTGGACTCTGCATATACCTGCTTAATACACCAACACAGAAACACAAGTCTGGTCTTGTGTGTAAGAGATATCTAAGACAGCCCACATTCTTCCTGTATTTTGTTGCATCTATTTCCTTTTCACCATCAGCTTTTGATAACTGTAATCCAACCTCCATTGGCGTGTGAACAGGATTGCAGTTCTCCATTTGAGCTTCTTCCAAGATCTTTTGCGCATACCTTCTCTGTGTTAGAGTTATTCCTTCTTTGTGTTGACAAACCTCAATCCCAAGATAGTATGTTAACCTTCCAAGATCACTCATGTCAAACTTTGATGCCATCTTTTCCTTGAATTCATTAATGACAACAATGCTTGTCCCTGTGACAAATAGGTCATCGACATAAACAGCTATTAGGAGAAGTTCTTTGTTCACTCTTTTCCGATACACTGATGGCTCTTTTGAACACTTTTCAAACTTTAGTTCCTGCAATATCTGATTTAGCTTATTGTTCCATGCTCTTGGGGCTTGTCTTAAGCCATATAAAGCCTTATGAAGCTTATAGACTTTTCCTTCACATCCTTTCTCCTCAAACCCTTCAGGCTGCATCACAAAAACGGTCTCCTTCAATTCACCATGTAGAAAAACGGTTTTAACATCCAGGTGATGTATCTCCCACTGATTTGATGCTGCAAGACTAATAAGAAGTCGCACTGTTTCAAGTCTAGCTACTGGTGCAAACACTTCTTGAAAGTCGATACCAAACCTCTGCACATACCCTTTAGCAACCAATCGGGCTTTATGCTTGTTAATACTCCCGAGCTACGTTTGAGTTTAAAGACCCACTTTAGGCCAATCGGCTTTGCTCCAGCTGGTAAGTCGACAAGGCTCCATGTTTTATTCTTCTTGATAGAACAAATTTCATCTTCACAAGCAAGCATCCATTCCTTTGAATCTTTTGCTTCTAAGAAATTCCTTGGTTCCTCGTTTACTGTAAAAAGTAATCTTTCTCCTTCCTCTTCAGCGAGCATTACAAAATCTTCCAGGTGCTTGGGTTTTACTGGTATCCTTGTCGATCTTCTCAGAACTAAAGGCGATTGATCTCGAGTTTCTGCAGTTTCTGTACTTTGTTCACCATTGAACCCATGATCGTCTTCCTCAAAGTTGTTTTCGGGAAGCTCTGTTCTTGTGTCTTTGTTTCTTGCTCTGTAATGACATCTCCCCCTGGTTCTTGGATTCCTCGATTTCCAAACTCTCCCAGCGTAATTTTAAAACTTCCGTCTTGCTTCTGATCTGAGTTCTTCGAGTTCCAGTTCCAGCCTTTAGTCTCATCAAAAACAACATCACGACTCAGAATTATTTTCCGGTTTTGTGGATCTAGCATTCGATATGCTTTGGATCCTGGTTCTGTTCCAAGGTGAACGAGCATGCGTGACCTATCATCTAATTTCTTTAGATGTGGCGTTTCTGTTTTTGCATATCCTATGCATCCAAAAATCCGTAGATGAGTGATGTTTGGTTTCTTTTCTCGGAATGCTTCATACGGTGTTTTATCTTTGTTTGCTCTTGTGGCCACTCTGTTTAGAAGATAGGTCGAATGCCTCACTGCTTCTCCCCATAGATAGTTCGGTATATGCATATGCTTCATTATGCTTCTCGACATCTCCATTAGCGTCCTATTGTGTCTCTCTACTACCCCGTTTTGCTGAGGGGTATAAGGCGCGGTGAGGTGCCTTTTTATGCCTTTGTCGTCACAAAACGAACTAAACTCCTGTGATACAAACTCTCCCCCTCTATCGGTTCTGAATGTATGAATTCTTGCACCGGATTCGTGTTCCACCAAGTTTTTAAACCTCTTGAACTTATCAAAAGCATCGCTTTTCTCTTTCAATAAGGTTGTCCACATGTATCTCGAATAATCATCAATGAGGACGAAAATATACCTATTTCCACCTGCTGTGCTTGGTGTTATAGGTCCACAAAGGTCCCCATGTATGAGCTCCAGCCTCTTGCTAGCTCGGTATGAAGTAGCTTGTGGGAATACATGTCTTGTTTGCTTACCAAGTAAGCATGACCCGCAGATTTCTTTTTCGATACTTAGCTGAGGAATTCCTTCGACAAGCTCCTTCTGGATCATGTTCTTCATGCTTTGAAGGTTGATGTGCCCCAATCTGGCATGCCATCTTCCTGAATCACTCATTGTTGCTAGATGTAAACATGCATTATCGGTTATCCCCATACGAACTTTGTAGAGACGATTTCGTGATCTACTTGCTTTGACAAGTAGTTTTCCTTCGCTGTCATGCATTGTTAGAAAATCCCCTTTCATTCGTATATCACATCCCGATTCAGTAGCCTGGCCGAGGCTAATTATGTTGCTCCTCAGTTCCGGAATGAAATAGACGTTTTTCATCACTCTTGGATCACCATTCCTATCGGTAAAGCATATAGATCCTTTTCCTTTGATATCAATCCTTGAATCGTCTCCAAAACGTACCTTTCCGGTAACAGAATCATCGATCTTAGTGAAATATCTTCGATCACCTGTCATGTGGTTACTAGCACCATTGTCTAGATACCATATGTTTTCTTCCCCGGTGTTTGTCTCATATTTGCTTGGCGTGCAATTTTTCTCATTCAAGTATACCACCTCGTGCATTAGGAGTTCATCAGCTTCTTCGGTATCCTCTTTACTGTTTTCTTGTGTCTCCTGCAATTTGAGCAAACGGTCCGGACAACTTGACGCATAGTGACCTTGCTTGTCACATCGATAACAGGTAATCTTAGATAAGTCAACATTCCTTGCCTGATCTCTTTCACCCGAAAAACGTCCACGGCCTCTTCCTCTTGAGAACCGACCTCCACGTCCTCTGCCCCTGTTGTTACTACTGAAGTCTCGGTTTTGAGATTCAGTATAAATTAGCTTGGTCTGATCTTCCCGAGATTCCTCTTCTTCCTCAAAGACTCGTTCTTCATAGGCTTTTAGGCGTCCAATGATGTCTTCGAAACTTGTGGAATTAAGATCCAAGACTTGTTCAAGGGACGCCACTATGTGTATGTACTTCTTACGAGGAAGACTTTTGAGGAACTTTTTGACCAGCTTAGGTTCTTCGATGTTTACTCCTAGGGCAGAAGATTTTGATGAAATCTCAGATAGCTTTCCAGAGAAGTCATCGATTGTTTCATCATCCTTCATCTTCAAGCGATCGAACTCTGCCATGAGAGTTTGTAATCTTGCTTCCTTGACTCTTTCGGCTCCCATGTGTCTCGACTTTATCGCATCCCAAACCTTCTTTGCTGTGTCTAGCTCACCAACTTGTAGAACTAGGGTCTCTGGTATAGATTGGAATAATAATGCCATTGCCATAGTATTTTTCTCTTCATCCGCTGTCCCTGCTTCTATAACATCCCAAGCTTTGTGTACTTTAAGACATACACGCATCTTCATCGCCCAAACTGTGTAATTTGTTGTAGTCAGCATAGGACATTGTATTGAGGACAATCCTCCTCCTTCTTTTGGTTTGTCAGCCGCTGGCACTATATCACCCATCGTTGCAGTTTATGATCTTCGTATATGAACCCTAGATAAAGCTCTGATACCAATTCTAGAATTCAAGCAAAATAGTTTAAGAACTTCAAGGATTAAAGAACAACTTTTCTTTATTGCTTTAGAAAAATCACTCAAAAACTAAAGCTCTCAAATCCACAACTCATAAGGTTTACCACAACTTTGGCAACTCTTATATAGATAACACAAAACCTAAACCTTTTCCTAATAGAATTATGAATTTTCTTTTCTTTAGATAACTCCTAAGAATGTCTAGATAACTCCTAAACATATTCCTAATCCTAAAAGGAAATATCAAACTTGTTTACCAAGTTAACTTCAAGTTTAAGTCAACAAAAACAGCGTCCACTTTAATGGTTGCGATCGGTTGCGATCGGCGCTGCGTGTTGATTGCCGTTCTACACTCACCACAAATTTGGAGCTGTGAAGTACGTTATAATTTTGTGTCGCCGGACGCTGACGCAGCGACAACGTAACGAACAGGCTTGTCTTCAAGGTTGGATATAGGAAACTGGCCACTAATGAAGGTCCTGTTTCAAATCGAGTCTCATGTCTGCAGGTTTGCTTGAGCTTTTACACCTTGTCTGGCTCGATAAAGATGGTCCTTGAGTTGTGCAAGCATTGCATCTCTTCCTTGTAGCTGCATCTCCAAATCTAATCCCTCATATAGCCCACATATTATTACCCGGCCCTCAAAAATCAATTAACCTTGTCCTCAAGGTTGACGTGTTGAAACTGTGTAGCCAGTACAGGTTGAGTTCCCACGAGGATTCATAATCTGGAAATTCATTCCATTTTACCAACATTTCCTCATGACCGGTCATTTGATTGTCTTGAACCTGTAAAGTCTGTTCTGGTTCAGCCTTGAGAACTCAATCTGATGTGAGTCGCTTCAACGCTACAAATGTGACCGGATGGTCGTTCATTTTCTCCTTGCTGCTGTCCATGAACTTGGAACGTCTATCCCTTAGTTGTTCAGGATTTCCATGAATTGAGATAGGAACTCCATTAACTTGGAACTTCATCTCTTGCCTCTTCCAATTCACTTCCATGTTCCCTGAAGTCTCAAGCCATGGCGTTTTCATAGTTACACCTGCGCTGCCCAACTCCCGAGGTAAGAAATCAACAATCCCCTTGTAATTTTTCAAAGTGAGCTCCACGTTCTTGCTTACTGCCCCAACATCACTGTGTTTAACATGAAACATACGTGAAGCAAATTCCCTGCTCTGGTTTTCAGAATTATGCATCAAGAAAGAGCAAAAGTTCTTGAACATTTCAATCATCATGCCCTTCCTCGTTGTGTCCAGCTCCTCGGTCACTTGCTCTCTTACTGCCCAATTCCCAGCAATCCTTACTTTCCCCACATAAGGCCAAATACAGTTCAGTCCCTTCTGACCAACCAATAGGTTAAGCAGTATCAAGTTCCAGCAACCTTCCCGACAGTAAGTGTTCTCCTTAAAACCCAATATAATGTGTAGCTTTCTCGGATATTCAAGGAGAATTACTCTTGGAAATTTGAAACTCATCAACTCAACAACCTCTTCTTGAGAGTTACTCCACATATTGTGTTTAACCTTCCTGGACTGTGCATAAGCCTCTTCTCTCTTCCTTGTAACTCCTGGCAGAGACAACATCTTGTTTCCAATTTGTGACTTCTTTTTCTTTAACTGAGTTTCCCACAGCAGCAGTTCATCAAGCACAATGCAGCAACACTTCGCTCTTTTACAGCCCTTCATTCTCCTCATGTTTGACTTTTGAAATCTCTCCTTATAAGAGACTGAAAGTTGAGATGCTTCTCTTTCCATGGTTTGTACTTACCCCATTTCTTAGAGTGTTTTTCAGAGTACCTGAGCTTAAGACTAGAATTCAATGAAAAGGTATCTTGATTTCTAGAAGACCTCCTTTTGTTCATAGCATAGTGCTTGTTCATGTACTTGTATTTGGCCTTTTGTTTCTTCCATTCCATCAACTTCATCCATGCTCTTGTAACAAACGAAAGTAGCTTGCCACAAACCACACACATTTACTTCGACTCTCTTCTCTTTCTGGTATTGGCAACTAACAACTTCCTTTTCTGAATCACTAGACCATTCAGCTGCAGCAGTTTATCACACCGTAAGTAGGCTCTCTCACGGCCCTGCTTTTTCTTACACCATTCGCTGAAGTTCTTTCTTAAAAATCCAGGTTCAGCCTTGAGCTCCCAAAGGTTTACAATACTCAACAACCTTGCCTTGATCTTTTCCCTATGCTTGTTGAGCTTCTGCTTGAATTTATGTTTCTTCCACTTTGCAAGCTTCTTCAAAACTGTCCCTTGTCCAAATAGCAGCTTTGCAGACAACCGTTCATGCTGGATTCCCTTCCTCTCATACTCCATTTTCGTTCCTCTCATGCTCCCATTGTGATTGCCGCATTTGGTTTGGCTTGGCACACTTTCCCTCATGCGTTTTCAGCCTTGTTCTCTTTTTCTTTTTCTTTGTAAATCTCCCCATACGCCTTTTTTAAGACCTTTGGCTGTTGTAAAAAGCATGACAATTTACTAACTTACATCTCTTCACTCTGTTGTTTTGCTCTTTGAACTTCTCCTCTTGAGTTTGATGAGGCATAGGTTCCCTTTTTCCATGTTTGTATTTAGATCACTTAGGCTCCATGAACTTCTTCTTCTTTCTCTTCTTCTTCACCCTTTTTCCACTAAGAATCATTTTGTCGAACACCTGGTGGGCACAATTATCCATCTCATCCTCTATCTGTTTTTGCTCCTCTTCCTGGTGCTCTTCCTTTCGCTTTGTATTGACAAACTCAAACAGCTCTTCCTCATTACCCAGAGATGTATTCTTCTTCTCTTCACCACCCAGATTCTCCTTTTCCAAGCGATCTTCAGTTGGAAGCAGTAATTTCTCTAACCTCTCCAGAATTCTCATCCTTCTCTCAAAGTCAATTGCTCTCTTCTGTTTGAGAAGAGCCTCAATCTCGCTGTCCTTGCTGAATCGTTGGAACAAGCAAATTTTGAAGTCAACCCAACTAGTGAACGGAGATTGTGAAGTCTCACCATTGTACCATGCGAGAGCATCCTCTTCCACGAAACCGAACTGCAATTTTTCCAGATCAGAATAGCCTTGAGCACAAAACTCTTCGATCCAAGACACCCACTCTTTCCGATCGTCGTCGCCGTAGAACAACGAAACATCGATCACATCCATTGCCGAAGATTGACGGCTCTGATACCAAGCTTGATACGTGTAGGGATAGAAATATCTGATGTATTAAAGGTAACGATTGGATTACAAAGGAACTTGAGGAATTTGATAATGGAGCTCCTCCCACTCCCCCTCTTTGAACAAAGACTCCAATTCTTTGATAACCTCTCTCTAAACCTTAGACACGCTAAAACCATGTTCAATGGTAGCAACTTTTAAAGGATGCTTAAGTATTATTTAATTATTAATTTGAAGTTAAGAATTTTTGTTAAGCAATTCTGATTGTGTAAGCTCCAATGGTAGAATCTCCAACATTCATCACATAAATGTCTTCACCTTCCATCAACATCACCAGAACACAAATAACCCATTAAAGCTAGTTCAGGATTTTCATCGAGCATCTTATCTGCAGTGTCAAGATATGATTCTTCCGTCTTCCTCAGAGCTCGAGACAGAGCTTCTAGAACTTCAGAATGGTTCGTCATTGATGCAGAGTGAAAGAAGACGGTCGGCGACGGAGAAAGATGAGGTCGAGCTGCAAAGAGAAGATGAGGTCAAGCTGCAAAAAGTTGGATAGAGAAGAAGACACCATTGATGCAGAGTGAAGGAAGAAGGTCGTTTACCCTCGGCGGCGAGAAAAGTTGACGGAGAAAGAAGAATGGTGACGGAGAATATTGATCGAAGAATTTTGAGCGATGAAGATGAAAGAAGAGAGAGAAAATTTTTCTACATCTTGAAGCCTATCACTTTTGACACGTGTCTGGCAAGCACCGGTGCTTAAGACGCTTATTTAAGCGTCGCTGCTTAAATTAATGTATTATTTAGATTTTTTTTTTTAAATTGTCTTAGCACTCCTTCTAAGCCACCTGCATTGAACATGCTCTACTACTTCTTAATGTAACCTCTCTCTAAACTTTAGACACACTTAACATAAAACGACTGTGGATTATTCATTTCTACTTAGATAAAACGACGGTGCAGAGACTTCATACGTATCATTACCCCCGCCTTTGAAATCAACCTTGTCTTCAAGGTTGGAAATAGGAAACTGGCCACTAATGAAGGTCCTGTTTCAAAACTGGCCACTATTGGAAACATTACAATACTGTTTCATAGTGTAGTCCCAATATTTTTTTTGTTTTGTTTCTAGATATTGTTGTTTGATTGTTTGGGCTACAATCTAAGTCTTTTAGGTGCCATGGGAAACCAACCTAAGGAAAAGTTCACTTGGGTGATTAAAATTTTCTCCTCTTTGGAATCCAAGGACAATACATTCTGATATATTCGTAGTGGGTAGCTGCACATGATAAGAAGACGAGAAGTTGTTTAACAATGTTTTTTTTCTTCCAGTTTAGGTTTTACAGGATAATTATGTCTTCGTGTTGCTGATTGTCTTCTTATGTCTTTTTGTTTGCTTGCAGGCGTCTTGTGGCCTATCCCAAGGGAATGAAAAAGGTGAATCATTTCTCTCTGTTTCTGGCTGTTCCGAATAACGATATTTTGCCTATTGGATGGAGAAGACACGCTAAAGTTTTCTTTACTATAGTAAGGCTCTGTTCGTTTTTTTATCTAGATGCTGCATCTAGATTTTGCATTTAGATCAGCATCTAGATACAACATCTAGATATTGTTTGTTTTTAAAACTAAATTTTGCATCAAGATGCTACATCTAGATACTAATTGTTCGTTTGTGAATTTAGAAAAATAGTTGGATGCAAAATATATAAAATGACTAAAAAGAATTATTATCTTTTAATAAGGGAAAATTCTATATAAAATCATCAACTTAATTTCAATAAGCTTTTTAAATTTTCAACTTTTCGTGTGCTCAGAAAAAAACCTTAAGAATTTTTTCTATCCATTTTAAATCTTCAATTGTTATTCGTATAGTTAGTTTACACCATGTACAAATGATACTAAACAAAAATGGGAACATCGTTCAAATTCCGTTAACAAACTAGCTACAGTACTCGTTGTGGTTAAGCAATGGTTAACATGAAACTCGATATAAACTAAATTTTGACAAAACTGAAGCAAATTCCCAAATCAAATTGAAGCAAAATGATCACACGGATAATAATTGAGGATTCAAAATAAGTAGAAAAAATACTTGAAGTTTTTTTTCTGGGCACAAGAAAAGTTGAGGATTTAAAAAGCTTATTGAAATTAAATTGATGATTTTATATGGAATTTTCCCTTTTAATAAATAATATTTTTACCCAATTAAGTTTTAAAAATACATGAATTTTTTTTTTTTTGCATTTTTTGTGGGAAAACATGATTTTTTATACTTGACGAGAAAATTTTTTACTGGAATTTTGAGTTTTTGATGGAAAATAAAAATATTGTGTTTTTGGCAGGAAATCGAGATTTTACGTTTTCGGCGAGAAACCAAGAGTTTTGGTTTTTAATGGAAAATCGAGATTTTACTATTTTGGCGAGAAATCGAGATTTTGCGTTTCGGCGAGAAACCGAGATTATTTTTTTTAGCGAGAAATCGAGATTTTGCGTTTTCGACGGAAAAGCAAGAGTTTTATGTTTTTGGCGGATAATCAAGATTTTGCGTTTTTAGTGAGAAATCGAGAGTTTTCTTTTTTGACGGGAAATCGAGATTTTGTATTTTTGGCGAGAAACCTAGATTTTTCATTTTTGATAGGAAATCGAGATTTTGTGTTTTTGGCGAGAAATCAAGATTTGCGTTTTCGCGGGAAAGCGAGAGTTTTTCGTTTTGGCGAAAAATCGAGATTTTGCGTTTTTGGCGTGTAACATAAATTTTTCGTTTTTGGCAGAAAACCGAGATTTTTCGTTTTTGGCGAGAAATCGAGATTTTGCATTTTTGGCGAGAAACCAAGAGTTTTCGTTTTTGGCGAGAAATCGAGATTTTGCGTTTTTGGCGAGAAACCGAGATTTTGTTTATTGGCGAAAAACCTATTTTTTGTGAAAAACGTAGATTTTTCGTTTTTGGAGGAAAATCAAAATTTTGCGCTTTTGGCGAAAAATCGAGATTTTTGCGTTTTTGTCGAGAAACTGAGATTTTTCTTTTTGTGGCGAGAAATCGAGATTTTGCGTTTTTGGCGAGAAACAAACATTTTTGTTTTTTGCAGAAAATCAAGATTTTTTGTTTTTGGCGAAAAATCGAGATTTTGGGTTTTTGGCAAGAAACCGAGAGTTTTTGTTTTTGGCGAGAAATCGAGATTTTGCGTTTTTGACGAGAAACCGAGATTTTCGTCTTTGGCAGGAAACGAGAGTTTTTATTTTTGGCGAAAAACTAAAAATTAACGTTTTGATGGAAAATTAAGATTTTTCGTTTTTTACATGAACCAGATGCAAACGTTGCATCTGAACTCTCTATTTCTCAGCATCTATAATATCCAGATTTTTGAGATGCTAATCAATTTGCATCCAGATGCTGCAGCTAGATGCAGCATCCAGATACAGAAACAAACAGGGCCTAAATCATTTTTCGAATAAACTGTCCCAACTTATAGGTGATTGTTGCTTGATGATTATTTTATTAAGGTGGGAAAGTATGTTTCAGATTCTTATTTACATGTTAAGTAGAGCTTGTTTAGTTGTTACTATCTATACTATTATTTGCGAAGTCAAAAATCCTATGTGTCGTCTCTAAAGCGTTTTGCTTATGTGTCATTGTTAAAATCTATATATGTGTCATTTTAATTAATTCTGATAGAACGATCATTAATCCTACGTGTCAATATGTATGACATGATCTTTTTCATCGATTATGGGCCATTGAATTTGTTAATAGACCAGCGGTTTTAATCTCGATCATAGCAACCAAATCTGTTAAGAGTCACCAGCATAAAAACTCTAAACCCTAAAGCATATATCCTACTCTATATATGCTCGTATTGTGTTCGTCTTCTTTATTGTTCCTAAACATATTTTTATATATTTGTGTTCGTAAATGTTTTGGAGTAATCAGTTATTGTTTGTAAATAGAAATTGACCTGAGCTTCTTTATTGTTTTTCCTTAAAACAATCTTCATGACCGAGCACATATTTAGTTCTGTTATGTTCTTTTCATTGTTTTGTGTTTGAATTTGTTTCTTTTAATTCGAGTTTGTAGTCTTATATTGATATATACTTTCCACCATGCTGATTTGATTAGGTTATATTCGTTGGTGGTTTATAGAATGGACAACATGTCAAGAGGTAGACTTATCGATTTGTTCTGTTGTTATATTCGTTCGGTTTATTTTTTATACAGTTAGACAACTTATGGTGTATCGTATATATTTTTTTAGAGATGCATCGTTTTGTATAAAAAAATTATAATTCTATACTTCGTGGTTATGATTTTAAGATGCATCGCTAATATTGCAAAGTCGAGTTGAATGATGCATCGTTTGAATTTTAAAGCTTCAAGTAATTTGTCTGAATTTTCTCTCTCTTTAATTCAGATGTTCCTGTTTTGAGCTTCCACCTACCTCAACCTGATCGTGAACCTGAAGGGTAAGCGTAAGTCCATATTCCTTTTTTTTGTTACAACGTTATTGTTCCCTAAAAGTAAGTTGGCTCCACTACTTTCTTTTCTTCGTGATTACTTGCGTTTGTATTTCGTTATTATTCACTTACATGTATAGTTTGATGTTCTTCTAAAAGATTATTACAATTTTGACATGTCAAAGTTTACACCTTGAGAGGCGCACACGATTTATGGGTTGGATGGATTATAATCGTTTGTTTTGCGAAGCTCGAATTCTCTAGTATTCAGAATTCCCATCACTCAACGTTTAATGGCACAATCTTTGTGTATTCTGTTCTGCTGTCTCTGTTTTTTGTTTACTAGATTCTTGAGACATTTCCTAAAAACTTTTGTATAGCGTGCGCCTCCCTCCTCTTTTTTTTTTTAAATACATGGTTCTGTCGTTAGTTTCTTCCATTGTTACATTTACTTATGTTCTAGATCCTAACAGAATACATGAGCAGATATAGGCCATGTATTATTAGATAAAACTGTGTTTGATAAAAGAACTTTGTTTGTTTCTTTATTGGTGGATCTAACTCTTGGGATATTGGATTATTTTTCTTTGTTGCTCTTTTAGTTTACCGAGGTACAAGTTCTTATGTATCACGTTTGAGGGTTTGCACGCATAATTGCTTCGGTTTTGTTTGAAGTTCTAAAGACAGTGGAATTTCAGTGCTGAGGTACATTATTCTATGAGTTTGTTTTGATATAATATTTTTTCTTATTTTCTTGGTGGATGTTTTGCAGCTTCCAGTCTTAGGACAACACTGAGACCAACCTCTGCTTTGTTGGAAACACATTGTGTCAGCAGTAGAGGGCTTAGTGATTCATGTATGGGACTACTCTCAACCAAATAAGAAGGTTGTTTCTACTCAGAAACCAAAAACAATCAGGTCTTATGTCTGTTGTCATACCTTGACTAGGCAAGGGGAAAAAGGGGGACAGTTTCATTGTTGATTTGCGAAAAAAGTTGCTCATTTCATGTTGCGGATGGACTGTCTCTCTCCAATGAAAGAAGCAACAACGTGGTCAGAAGAGAAGCTTGGCGTAGTAACAGGTGCAGGTGCAGCAGCGATTTCAGCTAAAACCAGCATCAGGTCTAAGCTGAGGCTCTTGAGGAACATATGCGAGAACGTCAACCCTTGTACGCTGCACCTGTGGGGGCTTGTGATCGTGTCAGCAACTTAGGCCGGTAGGATTAGGGTGTTCCATAACTACGGTTTACCAGTTCAAATATACAAAAGCGGGAAATGTGTATATGTAAACATTG